ATGGAATTCACTGCCACAGGAAGTGGTGGCGGCTACAAGCATGGATCGCTTTAAAGGGGAATTAGATAAGCATATGGAGTAGAGGTCCATCAGTGGCTATTAGCCACAAGGTATAGATAGGGACTCTGGGTCAAGTGATGCTCTGTCTTCTTGGTGCTGTGGGGGTCAACAGTGGGAAAATATACCCTGCTGGGCTTACCCAAAGTGAAAGGATTAAAGGTGCTCGTGGCCCCATAGTTCTAAGGAGCTGTGCTTCAGTTGGCTCATGGGGCAAAGAGACTTTTCATACGTGATCTGAGAAGTACAGGGCTGTGCACGCATCCCAGTTGTTTTAGGGCTTTGGCAGAGAGAGAAGCTCTTTACTCCCCCATATGGACATGGCTCAAGCACACGCAAGAGACTGGCGGGAAGGCCCTCTTCCCTATCTGTAATCAAACTCAAGTACAAGGTTTGAATCTAGCAAGGACAACAGCAACCTTCTCTGCCGGGTGAAGAGCCCCTTTCCCATGGCATCAGGACCCCCTGGAATTGCTTCCCGCTCCAACTTTATCCTGCCCTCCCCCCAAGGGGTTCAGATGAAGCACACATTCTCAGCCTAGCCCACCTCACAGGTTTGGTGTGAGGATAAAATGGAGGAGAGGAGAACAACAATTGGGGACCAATGGGGGAGAAAAGCAGGATACACATAAAGTAAATAAATAAGATTCTCAATGTAAGACAAACGAGGCAGAGAGAGAGATGTCCAAGTTCACCCAGCGAGCCCCGGTGTCAAGCAAGGATTCAAACCCACATCCCCCCACATCTCCTTTAAAAAGTTATCTCAGTTAGTAACCATAATTATGTAACCTGTGGCAGTAACCCAGTTATGCATTACTGAAAACAGTGCTTCCTTCTGAACCCATTGCCAATCAGTTTCACAGAGAATATGCCAAGTCTTAGCATTGCAGAAGAGGGAGAAAAATCTGTCTCCAGATCATGCATAACTGTATAACAATACTTCCTCTAGCACACGTGCACCCTTTAGACTTTCCTCAGAGGGAAAGTGCTCCAACCCCTTGATAATTTTGGTTGCTCTTCATACCCCCCCCAACACCAAGATGACAGAGCATCACATTGCCCCAGAGTCCCTATCTATACCTTGTAGCTAATAGCCACTGATGGACCTCTGCTCCATATGCTTATCTAATTCCCCTTTGAAGCCGTCCATGCCTGTAGCCGCCACCACTTCCTGTGGCAGTGAATTCCAAGTGTTAATCACTCTTTGGGTGAAGAAGTACTTCCTTTTATCCGTTCTAACCCGACCGCTCAGCAATTTCATGGAGTGCCCACGAGTTCTTGTACATGCTCGAGGTGCTGTTTATTTCACATGCTCCCAGAACTTCTCCACTTTTAAAAAAAGTGTCAGGGTTCAACCTAGGTTGGGGGTAACCCTGGGGCATTGTAACTAACAAACAGTTTCTGCTGGGAAAAAGAGCCAGATTGTAGTAGCAGCATAGAGACCAAGAAGATTTCCAGCTTTCAGAAGTCAAAGCTAATGAGAGTTAGTTGGGATCCTTTAAAGACTAGGTGGGTTCTCACCAGGTCCAGCAGGGTACTTCCCACATGCTTAAGTCATATGCTGCTCCCATCCCTTACAGATGTAAACTGCTTCAGCCATACCTCTGTAACTTCCTACTGTAGCTGCTTAGCTCACTTTGTCCTGTACGGAGTTTTACATTTTGCCTTTCTAACAGCTGGAGTGGCTCAGTCTGAGTGAATTTGGACTGGATCTTGTTTCGAACTCGCCTCTCTTTCCAGCAGCCCCCTTTCAGTAGTGTGTTATCAAGCAGCCTAAACGATTTTACACTCCGAAGCATCTGAAGACGTGACCTCCGATTCTCTAAAGCTTGCATGGCAACAGACTTTGTTCTGACAGGAGGACTGGCGGTCAGTTTTACTGAGCATACCCCAAAGAGCATTACAAAAGAATGGCGTCTTAAAGCGCTAACCCTAACGCTAGTTTTATTCTGAAGTAAGCGCATTCTCTCAGGAGTACTGATGATCTGGCATTCGTTGGGCCTAACCTGTCCAGAACTCCTTGCTCCGTAAACACATTCGCAATCCGCGAAGGTGTAATAAAACCAGAAGAGGCCGACGCAAGCCTGGGAGACCCGATCGCCGAGGCCCGTTTCCTTTTCCTCGCGAGGCGATCGCAAAGCGCCTGCCTGCCTACCTCCCGAGGGACACCAGAGGGGGTCTGCTGGCGCGCCTGAAGCAACGAGGACGCCATCAGCCAGGCAGCCCCCTTTCCCCTCCCCTCGCCACGCCTCCAGGCCTCTCGCCCGCCCCTCCCTTAGCAACACCCCCCCCCCCCCCCCCCCCCCCCCCCCCTCCACCCCCCCTTTCCTCC